TCTCCTCACCTGGAGCAAAGCAGAATGAAGACCAAAGATGCAGGGATACAATTAGTTCAAGAGAATAGTGGACCATGTGAACCTCAGCCTACATGACCATGAAACCAGAACTAGATGGTGCCTGGCTACCACTGTCAACCACTTGGAGAGGGATCAAAATAGGAGATCCTGGATAGAGTGGGAGAAAAATGTGGAACAAAACTCAAAACCATAAAAATGACCAGACTTACTGGTCTGATGGAGACTGGTGAAACCTTCAAGACTATGGCCCCTAGTTATTCTTTAAGTCTGGAATTGAACTCACTCCCATGGTTTCCAGTCAAACAATAGACAGGCATATAAGGTGAACATTTACATCAGGCAGTTACACTCCTTAGAACAATCAATCCTGGGAGATGAGAAGGGCAATATTTGCACCAGGAGATAGTTCAGAGGTCAAGAATACATAGGAAAGAAGGATACAGGGAAGAGGTAACCACAGAGAGGAAGTGGGAAGAGAGGTGTTACATTAGGGGGATTACCATCAATGTCATGAAACAAAATGTATGTGAACCGCTATATGGAAAATGAATTTGCTTTGTAAACTTCCACCAAATCACAATTAAAATAAATAAATAAATAAATAAACGGCATACTCCCCTCACCCTGTGTGCCTGGAACCTCCACATACATATGCCCATAGGTGATGGCAGCAGTGAGATACCTGTTGTTTCCCAGACAATTAAGAAAGGCATTAATTTGTGAAACTTATGAGACTTGGTCTACACTTTTCAGAAAATAGTACACCACTAAAAGAGGAGATGTCATTGAAAAAGAAGTACAGCCAGAATGCTCTTTAGAAGAGAGGATAGCAAGACTTTGTCTCACGTACTTTAGACACATTATCAGGAGGGACCAGTCCCTGGAGAAGTACATGGTTCTTGGAGAGCAGAGGGTCAGCACAAAAGCGGAAGACCTTCCATGGGATGTATTAATACGGTGGTTGTGACAATGGGCTCAAGCATAGAAGCCGCTGTGACAACGGTGCAGGGCCAGGCAGTCTTCACTGTCGGACACAGGGTAGCTATGAGTCGGAGCTGACCCAACAGCACCCGAGAACAACCAAAACCAGCTCCAGAGTTGGTAATCACCAGATTTTTAGATTTTCTAAATAGTAAGATCCTATTTCATTTCTCCCCACAGAGTCTGAAAAATTTGGGCACCAAAGTACTGAACTTTTACTGAATAAGAAAAAATGTAAGAAGAGCTTTTGAGCAGCGTGGGAGATTCAAGACTTAAGCACTCGGTTGAACTGCCCTTCTCTCCCACACAACTAGAGTCTTAGGTAAGCAGATACCTATTCCATGAATTCTCTTCTGCCCCCAATCCATCATCACTTGCTTCTTGCTCTTTGGTCCTGGTTCTAATTACATATCATCCAACACACATACTATCATGGACCTGATGACTAGATAAGACCCAAGTCAGTTACAGTATTGTGAACTGCTCACATACCTAGTCACTTAGATAGTGCTTTTCTTTTCCCATCCTCAAAGTGCTTACACTAACAAAACCCATAGTTACTTACCCCAACCTGTGGTGATGGCAGTCTACTTTCTATAGGACAGGGATGGAGTTGGAGCTCACCAAGGGCCAAAAAGCATGAGCAGAGGAAGACATTGGTGATTAGACTAAATTTTGAGAACAATGTGCACAAGTCCACATGGGTCAAGTACCATCTAACTGTCTGGCCTTTTCAGCACTGGCATGCTGTTCTCATCATCATCTCACACTCAGTCTCTTCAGATCTGAACTGACTTTCTTCATTCTTAATCTGCTCTTGACTTAACGATTTTACATAGTTGGTTGCTGTCCTTTCAGTTAGCCAGGCTTAGAACCCTAGTCGTCACTGACACCTCCCTCTCTCTAATCCCTCACATTCAAACACCCAAGTCTCACTGGCTCTTTTTTTGTTGGAAGGGAAAAGCCATTCCAGGACCCAGAGGGTAAACTCATTCATTCATGGAAACCAAGTGTGCAATAAGGGTCTTAGGAAGTCACTCACCAAGCTAAGAGGACAGGCAGACACACCCCAGGAAGAGAGAAGGGACAGCTACACCTCCCAGTGGACCTCACAGAGGGCATGGTTTATAAAGAAGAGAGAGAGAGAGAGAGAGAGGGCCACCTTGGCTGACATCATTTTCACATGGGGATTTTTCTCCATTCCATTGTTGCCCTTGGAGGCCTCAGAAATTATCATCTTCCTGAGGGAGCCAGAGCAAGATAAACACCTGCCCTTGACACAGACACAATGATCTCTAGTATCTTTACAATGTTTCTGACTTCCCCAAAATGTTTCCAAGTATTGCCTTCATGGATATGGCAAGATTCATTTATTTAACAAAAATGTTTTCGGCACTTATTACGAACTGACACTCTTATCAGCATTTCACAGAGTTAAACAGAGTCTCCCCAAGTCTTCTTAAAGTGCAGAATGGTACAGGCGACAAGCTGGGATTTGGGGTTTCTGGTTTAGTCCAGCCAATCATCTTGGTAGAGGAAGGGAGGGGAGAGGAGCAGAGACCTGTGACTTCCCAGCCTTGCCTGCAGCATGGAGCAGAAAGGAGGGTGGAACCTGGGTCAGGATTCCCTCCTATCTCATTTCCAAAACGGTATCTTCTCCATCACATCAAGGTCACCTCACAGCCCCATTACAACTGACCTCAATCATCCTCAAACCTTACTTCTCTTCTAGTCTTAAACAAATGCCTTGCTTTTTCTCTGCTCCCATAAAACAATCTGGGAGCTCTGGTGGCATAGTGTCTAAGGTATTTGACTGCTAACCAGAAGGCTGGCGGCTCAAACTCACTAGCCACTCCTTGGAAGGAAGGTTGGGCAATCCACTTCCATAGTGATACCGCCTTGGAAACCCAAAGAGGGGTCGCTATGAGTCAGATCCGACTCAATGGCAGCGAGTTAGTTAGTTAGTTATAAAACAATCCACACCTCTTGTATCCTGATCCTAAATGTTTCCCAGACTAATGATTCCAACACAATAAAAGAAGATGAAGGTTTGTAGTATACTCTAGACCACAGACATCCTACTTTTAATAACTCCTGAAGATGGATTTAGACATCAAATACAATTTTTAATAATCTTTTGTTAATTGATAACACTTCCCCTCTGGGTCTCATCA